CCTCATTTGGAGTTTAGTTTATTTACATTTTTGTTTCTGTGCATGTTGCTGTAACGTTGTGTTTTTGTGTCATTGTTTCTGTCTCTGTGCATAATTCTGTCATGTCATGTTTGTGTGTCATGTACATGTCATGTCTGTCATGTCATGTTCCCCCCCTGTGTCCTTTCGCCTTTCGCCCTTACATTGTACTGTACTTGCTTTTGTTCTCAGGGTGGCATGGAGTCCTCCACATGGAAGATGGTTAATCCGTCTCTACAATGACGAGCGGACACTTCACCTGGACTTGCGCTACTTCCATGCTACTGGATATGCCCCCTGGTGGCGAGATCATTTGTTTATTGGAAGGCAAGACGATTTGTGTACCTTGGCTGCATGCGGCTTGCATGTTGGCATATTTGTGTCATGCCATGTAAGTATCCTCCCCCTTGCAAGTTCCTCTACAAAAAACGCAACTGGGAATCGGAAGAAATAGCCTAAAAGAGGGGTCACGGTCAAGGTCAATGTCGTTGGGTTTGTTTATCACTAAAAAATTGCTCACATTGCCAGTCACTGCGACAGTCACACACTGCCAACACGTTCACTTAATCAAGGGGATATGTTTCAGCGATACCATTGTTTCAAACATGCTATACTCATTCTAAGCTAAGGCCTTGTCGATACTGAACGTCGACGGGAGCTTACGTTTATGGGGCACTTTAGCATCCTTCTTCCAGACACTGTCGGGACGATGGTGGCTGATGAACCACCTGAAGATCTTTTTGAAGCTGGCTGGCTTTTTCTTCGGGACTTGGCAGACCGCATTGAGGATGTCAGCGAGAGCGACGAAGAAGCAGGTGAACATTGGCGGATGCTCACTGAAGTCTGAAGACTGTCTGGAAGAGGAATTGAAATCGCCAGTCAAAGGATTGGCCTTTCTTTGAGGAGGAATTTGAGGGGCCATCAAAAATTGATGGCCCCTCCTCCCGGAATAAGGCATGATCTGGTTGGTGGTTTGGAAGTTTGGAAGTTTGGAAGTTTGGAAGTTTGGAACATGGTTATTTTTCCATATATTGTTATTGAATAATCCCATCCCAACTCCCAACTTGCCAACTCCCAACTTCCAACTTGATTCAACATTCAACTTTCAACTGACTAATATTTTGGGTTGAAATTCTCCAAACCGCCAACCAGTGACTTGTCTGATGTGAGATGAAAATTCTTCAAGCCGAGCAGCTGTGGGGGACAGGCCAGGGGGAATGGATGCAAAACTTAACCCTACCTACACTAGACATCAGACAGCCTACACTCACTCACTCATACTACATTTTGGGAACTTCCAGGAAAACGCGAGGTAAGTTTAACTGAATCGGAACAATACAGGGAGTTACAGGCATAAGTTACAGGCTACACTCAGGCTCACTCAGATGATTATGGCTTTGATATGCTTTGATTTCATTTTAGATTTTCGAGAATGCTAATTCCTGATGCTCATCCGATGATCGTGCTATGGGTCCTTCAGCCAAGGCTGCAGCAGCAGCAGCAGACGGGGAAGTTTCTGATGGGCCAGCTGCAGCTCCAGTGCCAGCATCAGAGACCAATGTCACTGGAGTCACAGTCACTGGTGTAAACTTAGTTTTCAATCTTGACTTGCATCTTGCCTTCACTGTACACTGTTCACTGTACACTTCAACTTTTTCCCAGCAGAACAGAACTGGAATTGGAACTGAATAACTGAATAGGATTATTTTGGCTGATTTCATTTTAGATTTTCGAGAATGCTGATTCCTGATACTCATCCGATGATTCTGCTATGGGTGCTTCAGCCAAGGCTGCAGCTGCAGACGGAGAAGTTTCTGATGGGCCAGCTGCTGCAGCATCTGAGACCAATGTCACTGGAGTCACTGGTCTGAACTGAGTCTGAACTTAGTTTTAAATCTTGACTATCTGGACTCTGGACTGGACTCTGGACTCTGGACTGCTTGACTTGCCTCTTGACTCTTGCCTTAGTTACATTTCAACTTTTTGCCGCCCAACAGAACAGAACTGGAGTCTATGGATTCTGGATATTCCCATAATTGTGTCAGCTTGGCTGCAGACCATGACATGAGCCAGAAGTTGTGTGTGTGTGTGTTTTGTGATGTGTTTTTGCTTTGAGGTTGATGTGATGCAGTTGGATGATGGATGATGGATGTGATGAGATTTTGATGTGATGATAATGATAATGTGATGTTTGCATGTTTGTGTTTGTGTTGAAAGATTTTGGCCCTGGCATCCGGCGAGTGATTGTAGATTGGCTCTGCCACACTGCCCTTCCTGAGACCTTTGAATTTGACCATTCCTTGCTTTAGCCATGGTGTGGTGGCATGTGGTGGATGCAAGTTCATCAACCGACACAACCTCGAGTCTGCCACAAGTCACGAGGTGTTCAACTTCAAGTGGTACTAGGCTACTGTAGGGACCATAAGGGAATCATGGGAACAACAAGGAGGTCTGTTTGAGTACTTGTGTTTGAGCCATGATGGATGGAAGTTGGAAGTTGGAAGTTGGAACTTGAAGGAAGGGTGAGATTTCGCCTTGTGACCAGAGGTGGACGGTGGACAGTTGGACTCGGACTTTGCATTTTTGTTTCTGTGCATGTTGCTGTAACGTTATGTTTTTGTGTCATTGTTTCTGTCTCTGTGCATAATTCTGTCATGTCATGTTTGTGACTGTCATGTTCCACCCTGTGTCCTTTCGCCCTTGTACTGTACTGTACTTGCTTTGTTCTCAGGGTGGCATGGAGTCCTCCTCATGGAGGTTGGTTGGTCCGCCTCTACAATGACCAGCAGACGATGCATCTCGACCTCGACCTGGTCTACTTCCATGCTACTGGATTTGGCCCCCTGGTGGCCTGGTGGTGCCGAGATCATTTGTTTATTGGATGGCCAGACGATTTGAGTACCTTGGCCCTGGCGGCATCCTTGCATGATGTGGAGGGCAGCCTGGAGACAAGAGCCTCAAATCTCTTCAGTGGGGGGAGTGCTTGGCGCTTGGTTGACTTCCTGACTGAGCTCGGTCTTGTTGAGACTGCGCTGCCCGGCACATGTTTTCCTGATGAGTTGGAGACTAGGCATTCACACCTCAGAGCTGTGGAGTTGCTCAAACGTTTTCGCACTGCTGTAGTCCTTCAATTCCACAGCAGGATGTATGACATCACGGAGGCCAGAGCCAAGGCTGCAGCCATGGCTACGCACATAGATCGGATGGCTGCGTTGCGCACTGGGCAGGAGACCTTGGATATTGAGCAGGAGACCTCGGAGACACTGGTGTTGGTAGCAGGAGAAGGTGCTGTACCAGTGCCAGATGCTGACTTGCTGACCTTGCGACAGCAAGCTTTAGATGCAGCAGCAGCAGCAACACCTGAAGTACAAGAGCTGTTGCTGCTGAAGATCCTGAACCTGCCCACAGCTCAACAAAGAGTGATCTCTGGTGACCCTGGTGCGTTGAACTTGCACCAGCCAAGTGGGCCAACAGTGACACCGACTCGGTATGGAGAAGCTGGGATCACTGATCACTGTCACTGTCACTGACAGTGACATCGAGATGATCGCTATGAACGGAAGTTGTGAGAACTACGGTGGTCAGGTGGTCCACCCGTTCCGTACACAACCGCCTCCCACAGTATCCAAGGAACGAACGCATGGTACTTTGTGTTGAAATGCCAAATATGCGGCTGCGGAGTCATGGCGGTGACTGCAGCCGGCACAGGGCACAGGTGATGGACCTGTGACATGGGCGGTGCAGAAGGGCTGGTCAACTGCATCTAATGGTGGGAGAAAGTGGAGGAAGTTCAAGACTGGTGACTGGTGACTAGTGACTGGCGATGTTGCCGCTGCCTGCGGAAGAATGGACATCTATAATAGATAGATGGCCCGGCCCTGGCCAGTGACTGACTGTGACCAGTGACCAGTGATGTTTGGGACATGTGACTCACATGGATGCCTGCGGAAGCAGTCAAGCAAATCGCTTGGATTGCGCATTGACCTGGACCTATACTATAATGTACAGAATATGTATAGATATGTACAGCCTAATAGATAGCGTCCGATGGCCTGATGGTGACATGTGACTTGTCCTCAATTCCTTTTGTGCAGGATTGTCTAATCGGGCAAACTGAAGCAGTAAAATGCTGGTTGCAAGTTGCAAGTTGCAGTTGCAGTCAGAGTCGTCAGTCAAGTCACCCTTTACTTTACTTTACTTTTCAGTTTTTGGAGAAGTGACTAATACAGATACAAGTGAGTCTGTCACTCAAAGCATGAGCAGCCAGGCAATAGGCAGGATTCAGGATCATTTTGGTTTTGCTTTCATTTTTGAATCTTCGAGGTTGCAGTTGCTGCCACCACCGCTGCCATGGGTCCTTCTGGGCCTGCTGTGGATCCCGATCCCCTGCACACTGTGGCTGATGGGCCAGAGACGAAAGAGGCCGGGCCGCTGGTCAGAGTCAGAGTCTGACAAGTTTTCAAGCTAACTTACTTGCCAGTCCAGTCCAGTCAGTCCACTATCATTATCATGTGCTGTGTCGCCGACAGCTGTCGCATTTCAAGTTTTCAATTTTCAACATTATCCAATCCAAGAGTCCAAGGCAAGATCAGTTTTGCTTTGATTTAGATTTAGAATCTTGGACTTGGAGTCGGATTGGAGTGATTGCAGTCAGAGTTGGAGGCGGATGCTGATGCTGCCATGGCTGCCATGGGTCCTTCTGCCGCTGATCATGATCCCCCACCATCTGCAGCTGCGGAAGTATCCGATGGGCAGCATCGGAGATGAAAGAGGCCCGGCCCGGCCCACTCGGCTTACCCTAGCAGCTAGCATGCGTCACAGTGTCACAGTGTTTTGTTGTTGATCCGTTTGCTCCAAGGCAATCTTCATCAAACACTCACTCCGTCGCATGGTCATGGTTCAAAGCAAGTACCTGACCTGGACTTGGCCCTTCACTGCTGTTTAATTTGTGAGTGAGTGACCGTCACCAGTGAGTGAGGGCGATGGCCATGGGCGTATACCAGGTGGACGACGACGACGACTACCAGGTGGACGCGGAGAACTTCTTGATCTTTCCAGGGCGGCCGAGACCGAAAAGGGTAGCGGCACCAGAGAAGGTACTTCAGTACACCACCCTTGGAATTGGGTACACGCAGATCTCCAGAGACATGCTGAAGCTTTCGAAAGAGAAAAAACTTTGTGAGGAGGTCTTCGAAGACGAAGACCAAAAGGATCTAGATCACCTGGTGGTCAACAGAGGATCAGGAGGAGCTCCTCTTTTCCAAGACCAAAAAGTTCGAGATCACCAGAATCACCACTGTGGTCACCACAACGTAGAAGCCCTTTGGCAACATCGAGATCACCACCAGCACCACCGTGGAGGAGATCTTTGGACCCAGTGGCAAGACCAAAAAGTTCGAGATCACCACAGTGGTCACCACAACGGAGAAGCCCTTTGGCAAGATCGAGATCACCACCATGGAGGAGCTCTTTCAGCTCTTTGGCCCCCTTGGCAAGACAGAAAAGTTCGAGATCACCATCACCACAGTGGTCACCACAACAGCCACAACGGAGAAGCCCTTTGGCAAGATCGAGATCACCACAATGGAGGAGCTCTTTGGCCTGGCCGCCTGGCCCGCCCCCTTGGCAAGACCGAAAAGGTCGGGGTCGCAGACGGTCGCAGCGACAGCGACATGGGAGCTCTTTGGCGGCGGGACGGTGGGACCAGAAAGATCGAGATCACAATGATCACAACGATCACAACCACAACAGAGACGGAGACACGGAGTCCGACACGGAGATATAGATAGATCATCAGCAAGATTCGATCAAAAAGATCGAGTCCAGTGACGAGTCCAGTCACTGTCCGTCCGAGTACGAGTTAGGAGTCCAGGACAGAGCAGCTCATGGATGACTCATGGCTCATGGCACATTCATGGGCGATGAAAAAATGATCCGTTGCAATCCAGTTACCAGTTAAGTTGCCATGTCAATATTCAATGATTGTCCGACAGTCCTGTCAATGTATCTAGTATCTAGTATCATGAATCATGTGTCGCATTTTAAGATTTTCAACAAAGCCTGGACTCAGCTTGAGTCTTGAGTAGACAGGCAGTAGTAGGCAGTGGCAGTGGGCAGTGGCAGAATCATTTTAGTTTTGATTTAGATTTAGAATCTTGGAGTCTTGGAGTCTTGGAATCTTGGAGGCAGATGCTGATGCTGCCATGGGTCCTTCTGCCGCTGATCCCCCACCATCTGCAGCTGCGGAAGCATCCGATGGGCCAGCATCAGAGATGAAAGAGGCCCGGCCTGCGGCCCGCCGCCCGCCTAGCATTTCTCATTTCTCACATTTTCAAATGTTCAACCAACTGTTCAACTGTTCAACAGAATTGAGCCGGAGCCGCTGAGCTGAGCAGAGCAGAACTGAACAGGATCATGATCATTTTGGCTTTGATTTAATTTTAGATTCTTGGGAGGCGGCTGCTGATGATGATGATGCGATGCATGATGTGGCAGTGGCATTTGAGTCTGAAGCTGTGGAAGCTTCTGCACCACCACCATTGTCAGCAGCATCGACGGCTACCAGTGAGGGCACTGAGGGCACCGAGGGCACCCAGGTCAGAATCAGAACATCGTTTTTGAAACTTGCCTTTCTTGTCACAATCACATTCTCAACACTCTCTCAACTCAACAGTCAGTAATACAGTAACTGAGCTTCACTGAACGGAAGTGAACTGGATCATTTGGGTTCACTGATTCACAGTTAGTTCCCAGTTTGCCCGCCATGTATACTGTATACTATAGCAGCTATATACTTTACAACTTTACAATAGCCTCAGTGATTTTTGCCAGAACATAATTGAACAGAAGACTCCACTTCCGGTCACCATGTTATCAGGCTGCGGCTGATGGCAGAACTCGGAAGCGGCGATGGGATCGCCACAAAGACAAAGACCACCACCAGGGCAATGGATCTGCAGGAATAGAGAGGTACATGAAGAAGTCCAAGTGAGCAAAGCAGCTGGTGAATCTGTGAGAGCCAGCAGAGCATTGGTGCTGTGCCATTGCCACTGTGCCACTGGCCGCCGCTACAGTACGCTCAGTACTCACAGTACGGTAACGACATTTAAGGCCAGACCCACAAGGCCACAAGGCATGACATGAAACACCAGTTCTGTTTCTGTTCTATCATTCCATGAAGCTCAGGCCCAGGCCCAGGCTCAAACTCAAGTTCAAGTTCTTACATTTAGAACGCCATACTCACTCAATATTCAATACTCAATACTAAATACCGCCATATATTCATATTCTTGGATTTAAATGTCGTTACTGAAGAGAGTAGAGTCAGCCAGTCGAAATTCGAAATGCTTTGAGTTTGAGTAGGCTGCTGAAGGACCGCAGGAGTAGGCGGAGTAGGAGGTACCATACTCCGTTCAAATGTCAGAGCTCCAGGCTCCAGCTTGGGGCTGCAGACATTGCCATTTCCATTTCCATTGGGGATCATCTGATCATCACCAATCACCGAACAACAAAAATTGATTTCATTCACAAATTCACAAATCACAAAAACATGAAAAACATAGTCAGAGTCAGAGTCAGACGTCAGACTCATAACAATAGAAACAAGGGTCTTGAAGAGAGCTGTGAGCGGTGAGTCTTGTGAGCTGTGAGCCTGTGAGCTTTTCTCTGACCTTAAAATTCAATGCCGCCGAAGCCATAGCCATAGACTGCCCTGCTTCGAAACTTTGAAAGAAAATTGGGTTCAAAAAAAGTATTGGTGCCTGGCCTGGCCTGGCCGTGGCCTGGCTGTGGGCCGTGGCAGTGGCTGTGCGACTGTGCGACTATTCTATAAAATCATTACTCGGTAAGTTAGTTAGTTACCATCTTTATTGTGCATAAGGGCGCATCTATACTTACGTACCATAAGAAACTGTTTAATAACTAGAGGGTACCGTACCGTACAGTACCATTACTGGGCCCCCTAATTCTTTTACTTTACTTTGCAGGTTCTTGCACACCATGCATGCCCCCCCCGGCCCCGGGGGGCCGGGGGGGACGATGGCACATGGTGCTACGGCCAATGCAGCGGCAAATGCGAGTGCCTCATTTTTTTCCGCGTCTCACCACGCATGCCCGGCCCCCCAGGGGGCCGGAGGGGTGGATGGCACATGGTGCTACGGAGAGCACAGAGGCAAGTGCTAGTGCATCCCTCCCCGCCCCTCCCCCCTCCCGGCCCGCCTCACCCCTCACCACCTCCCGTCTCCCGCCTCCCGCCTGAAGTCCCGTCCCGTCCCGCAGTCCCGCCCCGGGGGCCCCCGCCCTCTCTTTTTTTTGTCTTGCTAAGCTGCCCCCTGCATGGGGGCGAGACGAGGCCTATGGAGAATGCAGAGGCACATGATGCACATGACACAATTCTTCATTGGCACCCCTTATAGGGGCCAGCCACTGAGTGCGCAAAAAAAAATATTTAATTTAATTTGATTTTGATTATTTATTATATTTGCATATATTTAGTACAGTACGGCAGTACGGTACGGTACATTACATTATATAATATACATGATGAATCAATGATGCATCACAGTCACAGAAACTGATTTTTTCAGGGCCTGCAGGCCTTCAGCCTTCAGGGGACTTCAGGCCCTTCAGGCCTTCAGCAGTTCTTCCTCTGACTGTCACCTGTGCCAGGTTTGGAGTCTGGAGTCTGGCTGAGTCTGGAGTTGAGTAGCCAGCAGCCAGAGCTGAGCAGAGCGACCACTGCCGCCGCCGGGCCGCCGGGTCACGGCTGATCGCTTACTCACAACTCACAAATTGGTTCAAAAAGTTTACGAATGTGACAATGTGACAATGTGACGACTGTGACGACACGACAACAACAACGAACGAACCGAACAATTTTTCCCTGTCCTTGCAAGAACTGCAGTGTAACTGCAGTAACTGCAGTGCGACACATTGGGCATGCATCCGCATCGTTTCAGTGCTTCAGCACAACTGGGTATGGGTCAAAATTAGGTACCCCAAAATTATGGATGGTTAATACTAAACTAGACTAACATCTGTGGTCCCCTAGGTCTTCCATTTTGACCCACATCCAACTGCAAATATAGTTTCTCAGTTTATCCGTTTATCACAACGCCCCCAGCTGGAGCCTGTTCCGAAGGCGAGAAAAAGAAAGCGTGCAGGCGTGCAGTGAGATCAGTTTGCGATTGTATAATGTTTTCATTTTCAGTCGTTTGGAATCGCTATACTAATACTTCTGTAACTGTAACTGTCACTGTCACTGAGTCAGAGTCACTGCTGTAGTTTTTTGTATAATTGTAACTGTAACTTGTAACTTGTAACTTGTATTGTATATGAATTGAATAATAATTATGAATGTCATGATCATGACTGTCATGACATGACAGTCATGACATGTCGGACATGACATGACATTACAGTGAGTCGCACATCATCACACAGACACACACACACAGACACAGGCACACACACACTGTGTCACACACACACAGCACACTCTGCACACTGCGCACACACACACACACTAGACAAGAAATGGATCATCGATTATTTTTTGTTTGAAGATACAATACATTACATAAATAAATGCATAAATAAATAAATAAATATATATATATAATATGTTTGGCTTCAACTTGTTGTGGCCTTTGTTTGTTGGGAGTAGTGAGCTTGCGAACGTACCGCCTGTAACAAAAAAAAAGAAAAATCTGATGAACTGAAAACCAACTGACGGTGTTGGTGAGCCTGGCGGTGTTTTCAGCTCAGCTTTCAGAGTCAAGCAAATATAGCTGATCCTCCTGTGAAGAGTTGAAGATGTTAAACATGTTCAAATTGCTCAAGCTATTTTAAGATGTGTGGAAGTGCGGTGAAATCTGCTGAAACTTCCGTAGTTGGACGCCTTTTCCATTCCGCACTTGTGCGGCGGCAGATGCTCCTGGCTGAATGCTGGAAACCAACTGAAGTTTCCAAACAACTTCTGTTTATTATCATGTTGTGACATTTACATCTGTCACTGTTGTTTGAAGGATGATCTTTACTTCTCACTTTTTATTTAGATCAGATTGATGTCAGTCTTCTCACCTTTTGCTCTGTTGCGAACATTTTGATTTTATGTTCCGCGCAATTTTGGCTAGGGTGTGGAGGGTGGGTTGCACTTGACCCGTTCGATTTTTCTATCCGATTTTTCCATATCGCCATGGATGCCTGACAGAATTTTGGAAGATCTTGATTTTACGGGACGTGCATTCTCTGACAGAACTTTCAGTTTTCATTTGAACAAACACTGCCTGGATTTGCAAATGTTTTGTTTTCATGGTACTTGTGCGTGATTCACACAGTTTGGGCGATTTACCAGATGCAGCTGGTGCTGCGCAGTGGCCTGTTTCGCAAGGGGACAATGGAGGCCAGAGCGACATGGACTGGGAACACGTACAACTTCCAGATGCTTTGAATGATCATGATTTTGGACAAGATTCACATTTCAGTCCTTTGTTTGGATACGAGGAAAAGGAATTTGCAGAGCAGCAAATTGAGGAAGAATATTCACTCGCTGCAAGTTTGGTCAGACCAGATGACGTTGAAAACCAGACTGGACGCTTCATGGTGCCCACAGCCAAGGCACGGGCTGATAGGAACTTGGCTGAAACAGTTGACATGGATGTCAGTCGAACCATTGACAACCTTGTGATTCAACATGTGGCTGGGTCTTCTTCACTGCCAAGTTTTTTTTTGAATAGAATGGATTTTGACAATGTATTTTCACTGGACAGCATTTGGAGGCAACCACAGCTGCCTATGTATGGGCGGTTTGAATCTGTTCAGGGCGTTGTGCATAGTGCAGTGAGCTCGCATGAGGAACCGGTGCAAGGAGTCTCAGATTTCAAACGCAAAAGACTGTTGGCAACGGCATTTGCCAAAACAGATGATCAGCTGGTTGATTGTGCAATGCGGCAACTCAAAGAGATAGTTCTTTTTCAACCTTTGGATTCAAGACTGGGCAGAGCACTTCTGGATTTTTCAGGAAAGCTGGTACCAGAGTCGAAAATTTCAACTTCCTTTATTGATGCTGTTGCTGGCAAGGTGCCTGGCACAGTATCTAAAAGGGTTGCAGACTATCACCGTTTTGCACGATGGGCAGTTGATGGGGGACGTTGCTATCCCATGAACATTTCAGAGACTGTGGTGTACGACTATGCCAAGCACTTGCAACTGTCCGGAGCCTCTGCAACATCTCTGCAGTCATTTATCAAAGCAATTGGATTTTCGAACATCACATTGGCTTTGCGAGGGTGGATGTTGCTCAAATTTTTTCTGGCAGAGTGAACGGAGTTAGCAGGACTATGCTTTCAGGCAAAAGGGAGTTGAAGCAAGCTCCACCACTTACTGCTGATGCGTTGTACGCTTTGGAGAAACATGTCTGTGAGTGCAACGATGTGGAGGCATGCATTGGAGGATTCATGATTTTTTGTTTGCTGGCATCTGCAAGATTTGCTGACGCAGCTCGTGCGGAGACCGTGCATTTGGACATGAGTGGTCACATATCACTGCTGGAGACGTCAAGCATGAAATTCAAGACAGCGCATACGGCTGGCAAGGAAGCTAGGAATGTTGCCCTTCCTATGCTGGCCCTGGGCAATGGGCTTTACGAAAAGGACTCTTGGGCATGGACGTGGATTCGTGCCCGGAAGCGACAAAAGATGGATCATTTCAAATTTTTGATGCCGGCCTGGAATGAAGAAACATCACAATGGTTGAATCGTCCAATGACATCTGGTGAAGGTGTATACTTTCTACGTGAGCTGCTGTGCAACTCTGGTATGAGTGAGGCTCAGGCGGCTTCATACAGCACACACACCTTGAAGGCTACTGCACTGTCTTGGGCGGCAACATCTGGAGCCATGTCAATTGATGAGAGGCGTATCATGGGGCACCATTTTGACTCCAGGTTAGCAATGCCATTGATATACTCGAGGGATGCGCTTGCCGAGATTC